GCGCACGTCGTGTAAGTTAGCAATGGGGCTGAGTTGAACAAATGTGAGAGTGAGAGTCTATGGGTTTCATTCTTAACTCATGAGTTGCCTCCTGCACAACACTGGCTAAGTCAGTGTCTGCAGAGTTTATACGGTGGTCGTGCAAACCCCGCTCTTTGTGCCCGTGCTGGTCATCACCATCTCCAGCCCCACCCCTCCCCAAAGCCTCAACATTCTTGGCCACAGGGCCCCAGTTCTTTTTCTGATTCCGCCTCGCTGCCCTGAGGGTGCGTCCTACTGCCTCACTGGACTGGACTCTTGCAGAGAGCGGGGCCTCCCCAGCGGGGCATCTGGCTGAGCGTCTACTCACTTGTTCTTGAAGTCTTCCACCACGTCCTGCATGTTCTTCAACTCCGTCTCCAGCCGCGTCCGCTCGCCACCCAGGCAGTCCAGCTGCCGCCTCAGGCTGCTGACGTAGGCTTCAAACATGGGCTCGATGTTGGCCCTGGTGGCTTTATGCTCCTGCAGGAGGCTCCATTTGGTCTCCAGGACCTTGTTCTGCTGCTCCAGGAACCACACCTGCCCCGGCCAGAGGGGAGAGACTGTGAGGGCTGCCCTGTAGCAGCCTCCCGGAGAGCTCTGCGACATAGGGCCCCCCAACAGTGCAGGGAGGCCCTCCAGGAGCTTGGAGTCCAGGTGGCAGGCTCCTCCTCATCCTCACCCTGGAAGGATCCTGCAACGTAGCTAGCCACCCAAATGTGGGTGCAATGGGCCTGGGAGACAGGCGGTGGCTTGGTGTGGAGGTGGGAGAAGTAAGGAGGACCAGGACCAGAAGGGCTGGAAACCGTCTGCATCCACCAAACCACACTGATGTGCGGTAGCTGAAGGAAATCACTCCACCATCACCTTACTGGGCGGGATTTCGATTCCCATTAAATGGGCAGGAAGTTCCTGGCAGAAAATTTAGTCTGTCCATTTTCTTTCCTATGTGATTTCTCTAGATCTAGAATCTGAACTCAGTTGCCCATGCAGTCCAGGAACGCCGAAATGGGTCACTCTAAAGTCACGTTGGGGGACCTGGGCACAATTCCAGCCATGTCGCCGGCCAGCTGTGTGGCTTGGGCAAGCCCCTTCTGCTCTCTCAGGTCCCCTGTGGCCTTGTGCTTCTAGTCTGGTTTGCTTGAATTGCACTCATCTATCTGCTCCTCCGTCTGGGAGGCAGCCTTGGGAATATGTGAAACCTTTCTCCTTACACAAAGTCCTTCCTTTGGAGTCCGTGGAGTGACACACAGCCTCAGAATGAAGGAACAAAGGAGCCTCCAAAATCTTGGAGATGGCAGTGTGCCTCCAGAGGGCCTTTAACGAATGCCCCTCTTGCCCTTCCCACCTTTCTTCTCTGTTGTCAGAAGGAGGGCAATCCTGACCCCAAGTCCCTCACTATCACATCCCCTTTTCCCCACATCCCCCTCCAGAGGAACCAAGCAAAGGAGGGCCTGCCTGTTCCCCGCCAGAGCCAGTCTGCTGGAAACCTCACATCTGTTGGTGCAAATACAAGGCCAAGTGGGGTGACACGGGTGATTAAATGGAAGAACCCCTGGCTCAACAGTCCCTGGGGTTAGATTGGTGCATTGGAAGATTTGGGACCCTAGGATGAGGCATTCCATAGCCTGTTAGACCTGCAGAGTCACCTTAGAGTCTGTCTGTCCAACCCAACTGAGGCCCAAGAAGTTAGGGGATGTTCTCCTAGCACTAGAGTCTGGGTTGGAAGAGTCCAGCACTCTTCCATCCAGGTCCCATATATGGAGCCTGAACAAGCCAGGTCCTTGAACTGGTTCTTCCCAGACAAAGCAACCAGCTCAGGTGTGAACCACTGGTAGAACAAAATAGAATAGCTTCTTTCCCCGGACCTGGGGAAATCCTTAGGAGTACAGGCCTTCCTGCAGGGCGCACTCAGGGCTGATGTCACAGCTCAGCTCTCGCCAGAAGAAAAGTGGGAAAGCCGGCCCCTCACCAACCACTCAGCTTCCCCACCATACCCAAGTCACCAGGGAGGTCACCACAGGAGGACTTGTCCCTATTAACTGCAGGGAAAGGTGACCCCAGCATGATCCCTTTTTGCTGTCTAACTTTAAGCCCAGTACACATTCCCTATCCACCAAAAGAGCAATGGCCTTTCAGTAGGTCAGATAGCTCTGGAGTGTGGAGATGAACATTTTTCTGCTCCCACCTCAACAAGGTAGGAAACTGCTTCCTTCTTCGCTGGGTCAGCAGTCTTCCCAGCCCCCAGGATCACAGGTCCTGGGCAAGTCCCACTTGACCTCAGAAAAGCACAGAAAGCAGAGATACCCCGGGTACCTGCTGCTTTCCTGGTGGGGACCCCACTTGCCTCTCACCTTGTCAATGAAGGAGGCAAACTTGTTGTTGAGGGTCTTGATCTGCTCCTTTTCCTCCTTTTGCACCCGCTGGAGGGAGGGATCAATCTCCAGGTGGAGGGGGGTCAGGAGGCTTTGGTTGACAGTGACCTCCTGCATGCCCCCAGAGCCAGACATCATCCCGCCTCCAAATCCGTACCCCCCGAAGGCTCCCCCGGCTCTGTAGCCCATGCCTCCGAGACCCAGCCCATAGCTGGCGCCCCCACTGCCAGCCCGGCTGCAGCGATAGCCTCCACTGATGGAGATTCTCTTGCTACCCCCAAAGCTGTGGAGGCTCCTGGTCCCGAAGCTACGCCCAAAGCTGCCCGCAAAGCTCTTCCCGCCCTGGGACACAGAGACAGAGCTGAAGCTAGGCTGGCAGCCTGGGAGGAGGCTGGCCGAAGAAGCACTGAAGTTCCGAGTGCCTCCTGACTTGATGGTGACAGAAGATCGTTGGGTCATGGTGGGAGCCGGTACCAGTTAAAGGAGGGGCGTAAGTGTCAAAGGGATGAGGAGCCTTCCAAGTCTAGCTGTCCCAGACTCTCCTTGACTTTTATCCCTTCCAAGAACTGGGCTTGGCCGGAGAAGATGAGAGACCACTCTGTTGAGTTCATCTCAATGGCATGTCTGGCCAGCGCCCGTCTTTCTGCCCCCTAATCATCACGGGGAACACCCTACCCAGGGCAGGACCAGGCCTGGGGATTCGGGCCCGGGGCAGGCCTGGGTCCCGAACCCCCTGCCTGCCCAGGTTCTCAGGCTCACAAGGCAGGCACTCCCACTGTTTCTCAACTATTCCTCTCTTTGGATTCCCAGGTCTTGGACTCTGAACCCAAGCACTGGATCATGCCCTTCCTGTCGCTGGGAAAAGAAGAGAAACCCCATTTACTGAGGACTCAGTCTGTGCCAGACCATGTGGCAGGTCAGTTGCAAGCATTATGTCATTCGATTCTCATAATAACTTTGTGAGGGTGAGGATGAGAGTAATAGTTGCCAACGTTTATTGAGCAGCTACAATAAGCATGGCTGCTTTACACCAGTCTTCACATTTAGTCTTCACACAACACCACGGGGTAGCTATTACTATTCTTGTTTTGCTCATGAAGCTATTGAGGCATAGAGTCGTTGTGAGACTTGGCCGCAGTCACATGGCTAGTGAGTACTGGGCTGACGTTAGGGCGCAGTGGTCTGACCACAGGATCTTTGCACCTGACGTTGGTTGGAGGAGAGGTGGCTTGTCTGAGGGGGGCAGACTCAGGATTTCTCTCCAAATTCCTATCCCCTCTACTCCTCTTATCCCTGGGGACCAGAAACATTTAAAGATTACCCTCGGTGTCATTTCTCTCCTTCCTGCCATCCCTCCCAACCCTTCCTGACTTTAGCCCCCGGTTTTACACTCATCTTCTCTCGGTTCATGGCCTCTCCCCTCCTGCCACCTAGCTTCCTGCACAGCATCCTGGTTTGTTGTGGTTCAGATTCCTGGTTCTTGGCTCCCACCAGTTCCAAGCATGGTCTTGAGCCCTGAGCCCACTTCCTCAAAGTCCACATGGGCGGTCCCCACTCCGGGTGATGCCAGGCTCAGACCTTATGGGAGGGGTTCCGGAGACTGTAAACTCAGGAATGCGGGAGCTTCCTGGATGCCTCACTGCCACCAGCAATTATGGGTCTCAGTGGCTCTGCTTGGTGAAAGCATTGCCCCCAGGGCTGACTTTTAACTCCTCTCCTGGCCTGTTATTTCTCTGCTCAGGTCTGCAAGTTTGAAGCTGTCAGGGAACAATCAGCCCCCTTGCTGGAGGAGGGCTGGGCCGCCCACCCTACGTCCGTGTCTTCAGAAAACAGTTAGGGTTTGGGAGGGGATGGTATCGCCCTGAAGGACATACAGAGTCGGGAGGACGGACAGAGCTGCCCAGGGGCTTGGGCTTCTCAAAGAACACATCCCAACAAGAGGCAGGATGAAGTGGGTAGAAACACCAGGATGGAGTCTGGCTGGCAGTCTGCCCCCCTTCATCCCTCCCATCTCCCCAGCCCAGCATTCTTCATTCTGGAAGCAGGGAAGATCTGATGTACTCTGGGCACTCTTTGTGGCTCGGAGAGGAGGAGGATCATTCTGTGCTGCATCACCACGCGAACAGAGGGCCGGACACCAAACACATTACACATGCATTTAATAGACGCATCCCAGGGAGGGAAGAGAGAGAGCCCGCACTCCCAGCAGGCAGCTTATGAGCACCGTGAGATGGGGGGGCTGCCAACCTGGCATTGAGACGGCCTGGAAAACACCCACTTCCCATCTCTGCATCCGGAAGGTGGGGAGGAAGAAGGAGGAGCTGAAGGGAGGGTCTCCACAAGATAAGCCCAATGTGAATCTTGAAAGAGGGTGGGCATCGGCACAGAGAGGGTGGGGGAGCACTCTGGGGACTGTCAGGAGGGCGGAGGCTGGCTTAAGCTGGGGAATGGGGTTTAGCCAGGACGCCAGGCTTCCTTCCCGGCAGCACAGGTGGGCCAGGGGAGAAGAAGGAGAAGGACCCAGGTATCCTGTCTGCGACTGTAGACAGGCCAGGTCAGCAAGCGGGCAGGCTTCAGGGCAGGGGTCGGGGAGCGGGCTGGCTGCACTTAATGCTTGTAGCTCTTCCGGCTGGAGGATGTGGTGGAGACAAACTTGACACCGGAGCCACTGCCCCCGAGGCCCCGGCTGCTACTGGCGCTGAAGCCGGAGCTGCCCAGGCCCGCACCCAGGCTGTGCCCAGTGCTGGTGGTGAAGGAGTAGCCGCTGCCCCCGCCGAGACCAAGGCTTCCGCCTCCAATGCTGCTTCCACCGCCGTAGCCACTGGAAACGGTGGAGGTGACCACAGCTGCCGGAAGACAGGACACAGGGTCAGAACCCAGGGCACCTGCAGTGTCAGGGCCTGCGCCCCGAAGTCCGTGGGGTGGGGATGGGTTGTCTGGTCAGGCAGCTGTTTGCATCCTTCCAGCTTCCCCACCTACTCAGTGAGAGCTCTAGCCTATGCTCAGAGCCTGGTTTTCCCTGGGCCGTAATGCCGGGCACGCTCCCCGTCTGGAATGGCTTCCTGCCTCCTCTCTGCCACTGGGCGCCTCGCTTTTCCTTCCAGAACTTAATGGAGACTTCTGGCCTCCAGGAAGCGATTCTGGTCCACGTGCCTTTCCCTTTGACCCCATCACACTCCCTGCCACTCTGTCCCCATCTCCCTCTGTGGACCTGGCTCTGGTGTCTCTCTTTCTTTTGGGGGGGGTCACGTATGCACTTCCCTTGGTGTCCCCAGCCTCTGCACCCTGAATCCCAGAGTGGGGCTGGAGTAATCTTGCTAGACCAAGTGACAGATGACCTATTGGCCAGCCAACTCTGCTCCCATTCTCCCCCTCCACACCTGCTCTTTTCCTAACTTTTATAACCACCCATCACCTTCAACATCCAGTACCCTACACTGGGCTCTTCAGAAGGGAAACTGAAATAGAAATGGACTGTTACAGAATGAATTGTGTCCTCCAAAAAAATATGTTGAAGTCCTCACCTCTAATACCTGCAAATGCAACCTTATTTGGCAATGGGATCTTGTAGGTGGAATCCAGTTAAGATAAAACCATTAGGGAGGGCCCTACCCAATAGGACTTGTGTCCTTATAAGAAGAGGAAAGGCATCCACATGAAGACAGACACATAGGGAAAGGGCCATGTGATCACAGAGCCAGAGATTGGCAGGATGCAGGGCAGGGAGCACCAAGAGCTCTCCAGAAGTGTGAGACAGTTCATTTCTCTGGTTTGAAGCCCCCCAGTTTGTGGTACTGCGATGTGCAGCCCTAGATAACAAACACGGACTTTCAGGTGCTTTCAAGAGAAAGGGAACTTCACAGGTTATGGCAGCCGTCCCCAAAACTAGCTTTGAGGGTCTTGGGGGCCGCTGGACAAGGATATCAGCGAAGGAGGACAGCTGGGTAGTTCAGAGGGCTCTGCCTTCTAGAATCATCGGTTAGTTTAATCATCGGTTTTGTGAATCTTGCATCAAGAGAACCAAACTCACTTGTAGGATGCAAGCTGTAAAAGTCATCCCTGTCGGCCTCACGACGCCAGCAGTGAGCTCTGAGAGTGACTTCTGCCCTTAGCAGCACGGGGCTGCGCCAGCTTGCTCACGCCTCTCCTGTTCCCGAGCAGCTACACCCACCTGCCCTTATGTGCTCTCTCTGCCTTGAAAAACCCGGGTAACCTTCTGCTGTTATACTCTGCAGAATAAAACAGAGCGGCAGGGCTTCTCCCCACACTGCTCAGGAAGGGGTGGCCTTCCTGGCCATGCCCTTGGGCCCAGCGTGGAGCCTCCCTCCAAAGACTGAGAGCACACCAGGGTTTTATAAATCCTGTCCGCAGTGAATGCTCATGTCTGAACTAGACTCGCACCCCTGCGAGAAAGGTGTGGGATCCCGGGGTGGGGGGTGGTGGGCGGAAACTGTGGGTCTTCTAAACCCATGCAGAAAGATCACAGCAAACTCCTCTCAGCCCCTCTGTGGTGCTCTGTCCCTTGCAAAGAGGTAAGAATTGGGACATTAAAGACTCTCTCCTAAAAAAAAAAACAAAAAACAGACTCCTACTACTGTGGCTCTCCTTTTAAGGAATTCGAGACCTCAAACCTCAAAATGAACCCTATCCGTGAGGTCCCCTCCGATGCCTCATGCATGCCCTCCGCCCTCCCGCACAATGCCACCTCCCCTGCCCCAACCACATGCACACCAACTGACACAGAGGATGTCATACTCACAGATGTTAACTGGAGAAACGCCCTCTCCGCTCAGCCTGATCGGGGGGAGGGGGCAGAAGGAACGTTACTATTATGTCCAGCAGCTCGTGAGCATTTGAAATCACATTTTTGCAATTAAGCACATTAAAAAACCCTTTATTATTTTTATTGCAGCAGTAGTGGAGGTTGAAATTATTTAAATACTAGTAGTATTAAAAATAATAATCTAATGAATGACATAATGCGGAGTTTGAGGTTCCTAGGAGGAAAACCTGTAATCTCAGAAATACATTTTTTTGGTTCAAACTAGGTAGACTCCTGGAGAAAATTAAAGCTAATCGTACACTAGGGTCAGTTGAGAAGGGAGGGCTCCTTTAAGGAACAAGAAGATTTCTCTTTCAACAATGGACTGTTGTCATGCATGGGGCAGTGCTGGGGTGATTAGAGGTGTGGAGAGGAGTCTAAGTCATAAACATAACAATAACAATAATCAACCTGTTATTGTAGCAAGAGGAGTAATTTTGCTTTCGCATGCTAGGACAGAACTGGCCTTCATTCATAAACACGGACTTAGAACGTGAAAAAGGACTACATACCTGTTACCTACGTTAGGCCACTTAATTCTCTCCATGACCCCGTTAAGTAGGTTTGATGGATGGGGAACTGAAGCTCAGAGAGGTTAATTAACTTGCCCATGATCACAAAGCAAGATTTGAAGCCAAACTCCTTTGGCTCCAAAGCCCGTATCTTTGGCCACTAAACTGAACGATCGCTGGCATTTTTCAAACACTTGTGTATCGTGCATTGTTCTAAGAACTTCATGTGTATTCCCTTATTTTAACCCTCTTAATAACATATGGGATAGAAAGCATGGTATGTATCTTCATTTCACAGGTGAGGAACAGAAAGGTAAAGTAATTTGCCCTTGGTCACATAGCTGGTAATCGGCATAACACAAAACTCCTACTGAGCTTCGGGGATCAGATGATTTGGCCTCTTTATTCCATCACTGAAGAATTTGAGGACCAGAGAAAGGATACTGACTTTCCTGAGTTACGTAGTTAGTTAGTTGTAGGCCTGTCTGCCCAAATCCTGGGACAGTTTATTCTCAGCCCAGAGCCTTTCATACCATATATCCAGACCTGCCACATAACCCAATTGTTGATAGAATTTGATTACTTAGGACCTGATCAGATCCTAGATTTCTATGGGGTACGAAAAGCAGTTGTACTTCAAATAAGGGCATTTGATAATGATTTACTGGCCCCCCCAAAAACTGCACCTGTTGTTTTTGTTTTTTTCCCTCACAGCCCAGTTCTATTTTTGCTCCCCTTTCCAGGAGAGGAGGGGGCCGCAGCAACCTGAGACCTTAGGAATGCTTGCTTAGCTGCAATGGATAATTGCATCTGTCCCCCCAATCTGTCCCCACCTGCACTCCTCGCCCTCCAGCAGCTTGCGGTAGGTGGCGATCTCCACATCCAGGGCCAGCTTGACATTCATGAGCTCCTGGTACTCGCGAAGCAGCCGGGCCATGTCCTGCTTGGCCTTCTGCAGGGCCTCCTCCAGGTCCACTAGCTTGGCCCGTGCATCCTTGAGGGCCAGCTCTCCACGCTGTTCTGCGTCAGCGATGGCCGTTTGCAGGCTGGAACACTATAAAAAAAAGAGGAAGCCACGAGCCTTACTGACAGCCCCTGGAGGTGCGGCGTGTCTTGGGCAGGAGTCCTGGAAGCATGGTGGAATGACCCGGGAGAAATGAGTGTGCAAGGAGCTCTTGGCCCTGCCAAAACTCTACCTGCTTCTTGACACTGTCGATCTCGGCTCTCAGCCTCTGGATCACCCGGTTCATCTCAGAGATCTCTTGCTTGGTGTTTCGGAGATCATCCCCGTGCCGGCCGGCTGTGACCTGCAGCTCCTCGTACTGATGGAATTAGAGCAGTCAGTCCCCTCATCAAACGCCTGGGCTGCGTGCTCTGCGTGTGCACAGCCTGGCCCACACATTCACTGATGATTCACACACTCCCTCGCTCATTCATTTGGGTGGTATTCCTTAGGCACATCTACTTGCCAGGCACATGCTAGGCTCTGGGAGTATCACAGAGAGCATCATCAGACCCCTGCTTACAGTTTATTGGGGAAGATAGATGTTAATGAAATATTATTGAATTTATAGTTCCAAACTGGGATGAGTGCCCCTTAGGAAATGAATGGGTAGTGTAACAAAGGAATCTGACCAGATATGGAGTTGTGGGGTGGGGGTCGGGGAAGCCCTTCCAGAGATAGAGGTGCTCGAGCTGCGTGCTGAAGGATGGGAAGGAGTGACCTAAGTGATAGGCTGGGGAGAGAACATTCCAGACAGGGGAGACAGGCTGTGTGAAGACCCTGGGGCAGGAAGGAGCATGGTGAGCTCTAGGAGTGACAAGGTGACTTGGTCAGTGTTCTTTGGGGATCCCGGTCATGGGGCATACATCCAGACCCACGTGACCATGAATTTTGGTAGCCCTCCAGACCTCAGTGTTGGGGGAGCAGGGGAAAGGTGCAAGGAATCGGTGTTAGATGGAGCCAGGCTGGAGGGGTCACAGTTCTGAAGACTTTGTAACAAAATCCCCCATCTGAGGGAGCTCTCTGCCCTGTGGTGCATATCCAGGATGTACCATTTAGGAGAAACAAACACCCCTGTCTCCTGCCCACACCTTTCCCAGGGAAGAAGAGCCCCTGACCAAGTGAAGATCTGGCTGGCTTTGAAAGTGCTGAGTGGCCCAGCTCCTCCATTTCTAGATACACATGGTTTAAGGGAACAAGAGGCCCTGCCTACAAAAGGAATGGTTCACTGTAAATTTCAACCACTGTAAATTTCAACTTAGGCGCATGTCACCTCCACTTACCATCTGCCTCTGCCTCTGCAGGGGGCGTGCCTCTGCATTGTGCACCCCTGGCCCCTGACATCCTCTTCCTTCCTACCGTGTTGCAGTGGTAGGGACCAAGGCAGTGGACACAGCAGGGCGAAGGATGGAAGCCACATGTAGGTGAGCAGCTGGCCCTGAGACGGGTCTGCCCTGGGTAGGGAGCTGATCTCATGGATTGGACTATCCAGTCTACTACACCCTCCAACGCCAAACCTTCTTCTGGCCATCTGTGACTTTGGACAGTAGCTCTCCATTGTCATCCCAACCCCTCTCTTCTTGATATAGAGTCTTTTGCTTGGCAAAGTGCTCATTTCTGCCTTCCAGCCCCCACAGGACTGCTTGTTCAGCCTTAAATACCTCCTCCATCCTTGGCAATCTATTGTCCCTGGATGCTTCCAAATGGAAGGAAGACCCACTTCTTCTTGGAAGCTTTTTATTTATTTATTTATTTATTATTTTTCTTTTCTTTTCTTTTT